ATGACGAGAGAAAGGGATTCAGTTTCATTTTGTTGCATATGGATTTCCAGTTTTCCCAGCACCATTTTTTGAAGATGCTATCCTTCCTCCATTGCATGCTTTTAGCCCCTTTATCAAATATAAGATAGTTGTAATTTTGTGGATTGGTCTTTGTGTCCTCTATTCTGTACCATTGGTCCACCCGCCTGTTTTGGTACCAGTACCATGCTGTTCCCATTTGATTTTTAATCCTGAGTCTTTATCACTCCTTAAATACATAGAAATATGTATTTTCATTTTTTATATAGTTGTTTTTTCCTTTCTCCTACGTGAACTCTGGGAGGCAGAGATTTTTCTGCTTTATACAYCACTGTATTCCAAGTGCCTAGAACCTCATCTAGCTAGCACACAGTAAGACCTTAAACATTATTTGTTGGATCAATTAATGAGTTGATTGACATCTGTCATGACACTCAGCTCCTGGCTCCTTCCATTCATGTTAAATCTTAAAGTCTCTCTGACCCATTGCAGTAATTGAGAGAAAAGAAAAATCATAACAAATGTGCTTTGGAAATTGTGATCACCCAAGAAAAGTAGCTTAATTATCAACCACCAGCAGATGGGAGATATATATATTTTTTCTTTTAACAAAGAGAGCCATATCAAAGATGGAATAGTTCACACACACACACACACACACACACACACACACATCCCACATTATTAAATCCAAGTAGATTGTAAAACAAATACTAAAAAAAAAACGGGAAAAATTAGGGATATGGTTTAAATCCAAGAAAAGCACCCTGACCTAGACTGCAACAGAAGTGGTGCTAGGTAATGAGACCATCCCACAGACCCCACCAGGCAAGTGACAAAAGGAAGTGAGAGCAATGGAACTCACAAGTAAATGAGGTGACAAATCACCGCTTGGCCACTTCTCCACTTCACCTGCCGATGCTAAAATGCAAAATTACTCCCATTTAAGGGACCGCTGCTTGCTGTAGTAAAGTCACATTTATTGGCCAAACACATTTAAAATCAGAAGGGCTGTCTTGGTAGCAAGGAATAAAAAGCACCTAATTTCATTTTAAAACCTGAAGGGTTTTGTTTTAATAAGAACAGCCTCTTCTTTGGGGATAATCTACCAACCAAGGCTAAGACTGGATTTTTTGTCACTCTTATAAAATGTAAGTCAAGCACAAATAAATAAATACTATTTTATGTCACAAACACACACACACACACACACACACACAYATATATATACATACATATATATACACCCACATATATGTGTGTGTATGTATATCCTGATATATATGTCATCCTGATGTATATATGTATATATAGGCACATATATACATACATATATATATACATGTATGTGTGTGTGTGTATAGAGAGAGTATATATATATATACTCATCACTCACACATTGTAAAATGTCAGAAAACAAAGTTTCCCAACTCAAATTCTTTATTGCAGCACAGCTTCTCAAGATGAGTTTCTCCTAGCACCCCGCCAAGTGTTTTCACGAAGGGCATCGTAAAAGGCACACTTCCCAGTCTACATCTGACTTGACTGTCCACAGCATTTGTCCCCCCATCTCCCCACCCCTGCAATTCACCACTCGCTCTTGCTTCTCCCACTTGTCTGATTACTCATTTTTAGTTCCCTGTGAAACTCTCCTTCCTCTGCCCAAGTCTTAAATCTGAGTCTACAAAT